AGCGGTTTGCTTCATGAAAGCTATGCAGCAAGTTGACGCCTTTCCAGGAGGTAAACAAAGGTAGGTGTAATGCTCAATAACAGTGTATTTTACAATATTTTATAAGAAGCCGGAGGATCATTAGGGGCACTAAATATGTGTGTATGTATATATATATATATGTATACATATGTATGTATGTTCACACACCGTCACCCCCCCCAGTTGAACTACCTCACCACATTTGCTCATCTACTACCTCCGCCTTTTAAGATATAATGAATTTTGTTTTCCTGTGCAAATAGAACTTTAAATACAACTGATTCAGCCAGAATCCCTGTTTCGAAATAGTTTTAGATTTTGAACCTCTCTTGCCTTGAAATTTCCTTTTGGAACACCGTCTAACAAGATTAATTTCGGACCTTTCTTATGCTGCAAAAGGGCCAGGATACAAATAACACAAACCGTATTTGAATTGCCTTGTAGAAGTCCCTTAACTGTTTAGCCATATTTGATATGAACTAAAGTTGAGAAGTTGTCTCTATTCAATTGTTATTATGAAAGGCTAGTTGAGTTGTCTTCGTATTGGAATATATCTAACACTTATATTATATTTGGGGATAAACTCCTGAATATTAGTTGGAGTTTGCCCGAAACTATACTTATATTCTCATGTAGCTCCTATTTGGAAAGGAGTTGCTTATATAAGCTGTAGTTGAGCAATGTTGAGCATAAATACATTGTTGAACGCTTTATCCTAACCAAATTATATTAAAGATTCCAATTCTAGTTGAAGTAAAATCCTATTTGGAAAGGGATTCATATTGGGACATTTCGGATCTTGCCGTGATGGGCTGCAAGCCCATTCGTCTGTGCTTAGAATCTATTGCAAAAAATCTAAACTCTACAGCCTGCGCGCTGAAATCAAGCAAAACCTAGGCACCAGTGGGGGGGGCGTAGCATATATATATATATATATATATGTATGCACACATTAATACATATATACATATACATGTATACAATGACATTTGGGCGGTTTCCCTCCCAAATGGTTGGTGGACGTTGTGAACCACACACGATGGGGACCAGTTCCATGTTGGCATTTTGCCCATGTGCGCCTCTGACTTTCGAGGGATGCCCTCGACGTTTGGCCCATCCGCCAGTTGGCGCCGTGGCCTCGACCAGCTGCAACTCCTCGGCAGCCGGGGGCTTGCGGCAGATGCTGTGGGCCTGCGGGCGCTCCTGAGTGCAGGACCGGGGATGGGGGGGGAGGGGTTGCAGGAGAAATCCGCTTTATTTTTGGTGAGCTTCTCCTCAAGCCCAGCTGGAAGAGGTGACGGTGCAAAGCTTGCTTTGTTTTCACTTTGAAGAATACGCTGGGGTGAATTTGAAGGCCGATTTATGGAGAGCTTTTGCGTGAAGTTGGGCAGATGGGCATTGCCCAGATTAGAAAAGACCACATTTTTGTGCGGGCAAATGGAGGCAGTCTCACACATGGCGACGGAACGATCAAACACGTGGAAGAAGAACTGTGTTGGCTTCGGAGGAGTAGCTCAAAGGAGCATGTGGCCGTACCACGACTAGCAATGTTGGACACTGACACCGAAAATGTTACGGCGACTTGTTTTTTTAGAACCTCGACAAGTATGGTGGTGAGACCCACGACACTAGGCAGGCCTAAGGAGCAGACATTTGGGTATCAGAGCGGGTTTGAGACGGAACTGAGTGCGGGGGGTTCCTGAGGTGCTGCACTGCCGTGGCAGCTCTCTGGTCAGCTGCTAGCAACTCGCCTTTTCGATGGGTTTCTTGGGTACCGAGTTCCGACTTGGACATCTGAGGTGCAAAGAATCGCCAGGAGTTCCAAGGATCACGCAGATGTTTGAGGCATTTATATGAGGGTGTTGCTGTTGATAGGATTTTGGTCTTTGGCTTGATTAATAGTCGTTAAGCCAAAGTAGAGGGATCCTTGAGAGTTGCCTGGCCGGGGCTAGTACCAAGGCACGATGTGTGTGTGTGTGTGTGGGTGTGTGTTTGCGTGTTTGCATCGTGCGTGTGTTTGTGCCTTTTGACTGCTTGGTTGCTTGCGTGTTTGCTTGCTTGCTTCGCTTTGCTTGCTTGGCTTTGCTTGCTTGGCTTTGCTTGCTTGGCTTTGCTTGCTTGGCTTGGCCTGGCTTGGCTTGGCTTGGCTTGGCTTGGCTTGCTTGCTTGCTTGCTTGCGTGTTTGTTGGTAGGTCTATTTTTGATGTATGTATGTGCGTATGTAATGCAATGGAATGCAAATGCAAATGCAAATGTAATGTAATGTAATGTAAGGTAATGTAATGTAACATAATGTAATGTACTGCAATGTAATGCAATGTACTGGGATGTAATTTAATTAATTTAATCGAGTGTAATGTAATGCAATGTAATGTACTGCAATGTGATGTAATGTAATGTATGTAGTGTATGTACGTATGTACTGTAATGTCATGTCATCAAATGTATGTATGTATGTATGTATGTAATGTATGTATGA